TGAGGCCCACGTTCATGTGTCTGCTATGATTGCATCTTTAGTCACTGATGAATTGAATAATATTCTCAATCTCTCACTTTCATCTCTGGGGTGACATTACAATAACTGCTCTCAGTATCTATCTACTGCAGACAAATGGGTTTTGCCCGCTGCCTGTTTATATGGTCAGCATCTCCAAAACAAGCCTCAGAGGACAGACCATAAGCAACTCCATTACATTTACATACATTTACTTAAAGCCTCTCCCAATGCCGAAGAGCTTTATTAAATAAGGCATCAATCACATCTGAGTGTAGAGGTTCAAACTGAATTTCAACTTGAAATTGTTTGTTTGATATAAAAGGTTTATATTCTCCAAAGTATTTTGCCTGAGCTGGAAATGTATGAGTTGAGATGTATGTATTAAAAACATACATATATGAAGTATTATGGACCATTTAAGGATGTTCTTGGGAATGACATAGACACATGTTTTCTTTGATGCTTAATTCCTCTCATATATTTAATCCAGAATGGCATTGATACAGTATTCTGCTCAAAATCTTCTAAAGGGTAATTAAATGTAACAAATCATGTAAAAAACATATCATCTTTTATTGGAAAATTAAACAGCATTTTATCAAACCTTCATAACTGCCTAATCATTTAAACAACTGAGAAGATAGTGATCAAACGTTTATAAATAAGTATATAAGTTTTATAAAATTACCTTTCAATTTCAGCGAGTGAAGAACAAATTTACACTCATGTATTACGTACGTTACGGTCTCTGACAGACTGCACGATGAAGCTGCTCAGGCTGCCAGTTTCTCTTTCTTCGTGACAGTCAAAGTCAAAACATCCGCTAGTGTGGATTTTCCAAGTAATGCTTGTACTATTTCCGTGCATTGTGCACATTATTTTTTGACAGACATTGATGCTGTGATATTCAAATATTAACGCAACAGAATATTGTGTCTGTTTACACTGGCTGTAAAAAACAAACAAAACTGGTCTCAGATCAGCCCTAAACAGCACAACTAGCCCCTAATATGGAGCCCCCCTGGCCCAACCACTTACAATGAGGCCCACGTTCATGTGTCTGCTATGATTGCATCTTTAGTCACTGATGAATTGAATAATATTCTCAATCTCTCACTTTCATCTCTGGGGTGACATTACAATAACTGCTCTCAGTATCTATCTACTGCAGACAAATGGGTTTTGCACGCTTCCTGTTTATATGGTCAGCATCTCCAAAACAAGCCTCAGAGGACAGACCATAAGCAACTCCATTACATTTACATACATTTACTTAAAGCCTCTCCCAATGCCGAAGAGCTTTATTAAATAAGGCATCCATCACATCTGAGTGTAGAGGTTCAAACTGAATTTCAACTTGAAATTGTTTGTTTGATATAAAAGGTTTATATTCTCCAGAGTATTTTGCCTGAGCTGGAAATGTATGAGTTGAGATGTATGTATTAAAAACATACATATATGAAGTATTATGGACCATTTAAGGATGTTCTTGGGAATGACATAGACACATGTTTTCTTTGATGCTTAATTCCTCTCATATATTTAATCCAGAATGGCATTGATACAGTATTCTGCTCAAAATCTTCTAAAGGGTAATTAAATGTAACAAATCATGTAAAAAACATATAATCTTTTATTGGAAAATTAAACAGCATTTTATCAAACCTTCATAACTGCCTAATCATTTAAACAACTGAGAAGATAGTGATCAAACGTTTATAAATAAGTATATAAGTTTTATAAAATGACCTTTCAATTTCAGCGAGTGAAGAACAAATTTACACTCATGTATTACGTACGTTACGGTCTCTGACAGACTGCACGATGAAGCTGCTCAGGCTGCCAGTTTCTCTTTCTTCATGACAGTCAAAGTCAAAACATCCGCTAGTGTGGATTTTCCAAGTAATGCTTGTACTATTTCCGTGTATTGTGCACGTTATTTTTTGACAGACATTGATGCTGTGATATTCAAATATTAACATTTTCCACCCATGAACGAAAAACGTAAATTTAAGCTGAATTCTCGTTTTTCGTTTTTTGGAAAAAAAATGAAAAAATGAAAAAGGAATTTTCTAATTTTTCTACTTTCAATATTAAATCAAAAAACGAATGATCGAATGATACACGGATTGATCTCCCTTTTATTTATTTGATTTTATTATCATATTTTATGTATCGGGATTGGTTCTACAATAGTAGTGCCTGGAACTAAGACTACTATTGTCGCAATAAAAATATAAACCAGTGTTATTTTAGTATCGCCGATGTACTATTATAGTTTTTGTCAATATTTTTGGTATTATATTTTATTTTTGTATTTTCACTTTCATTTTAGTTAAAGTTTTAGTATTTTTGTTGTGTGTTTTTGCCATTTTTAATAGTTTTTTTCTAAATATGTCTATATAGTTTTTATTCATTTTTATTTATTAGTTTATTTAGTTTTAGTTATTTTAGTACTTGAAGTTAAACTAAACAAAAATGAGAAATGTTGCCTTGGCCTTAGCTGAAATAAAATAAGTTTTATTTTTTATTTCAGTAAATAATATTTTATTTTATTTCAGTAAATATTTATTTTGATTCAGGTAACAAAATTTTTTTTTTTATGGTTTTAGTTTTAGTTTTTACTTTACGATAATAACCCTGGCATACAGTACTGCTTCAGGTTTGCTATTACAATAAAAGTGGGTGTGTTCTGCACTGTAATTTTGTCCTCTTTTGTATTATAATGATTATAGAATTAATACACTTTGTATTGTAAAACATATATCCATTCGCTCATTCAGAGTCTTATAGCAATGGTTTTGGCAGGTGTTTTTGAGATATTGGGCATCTGTGGCGTACAGCCAGCATGCAGGCATTTGTGGTGCTTTGCTCTCCTGTTGCTTACTTCATGAATAACTGCACAGATATTCATTCAAATATTGTCAGATGTACTGGTTAATAATTACTACTCCTTTTAAAACTTCTCCTGCTTTCATAACCGTACTTCTTAATAGCATTGTGTAACAGATCAACATCCGTTGTTACTGCACCCACCGATATGTTAATATTAGCTAATATTCCATAAATTAGCATTTTTATTCTGTTTTCCATTCCAACAGATTGTCCAGCGTGATGCCAGCCCCTTCTAAGGCTAGTGTTGGGCCCTGATTGGCTGTTGGAGGTCTTCTGCCAGCGCTTCCGTATAGCAACAGACCCCCGTTCCCCCCTCCCCTGCCCATTTCCCCATCTTCCCTTTCGTAAGACAGTGGCAGCCCCTCGTACAGCGCTCGGATTCTGCCTCCGACGGGGCTTTGCTCTGCTGCTGCTGCATCTGGGGGAGCAGTAACCATAGTAACAGCTAGGCTTTGCTGACCCTGGCTTTGATGACTCGCCGCGCCACACAGTTTTCAGGCTTGACCTGGATTCCTTATACTGCTGGTTACTTGGGCAGAGACGCTCAGTCGATTGACCCGCTTCTTTTCTTATGTGGTCAATGATCAGAGGACCTCCGCGCATGTGGCGCGGTGCGGCGCCTCTGGGTTTGTGATGGCACTCGCTCGCTGCCCACACTACACTATTTCAGTAACAGAGTGTTTCGCAGAGCATTGACTCATTTGCTCTATGAATGGAGCTTTTCCTGCGTGTGAATATTTAAAAGGATTAGACCTAGCCTGCTGGAGGATATGAAGCTGCTGTTTGGTGTTATAGAGGCTCTTATGTTAAAATATGCAATTGTTCTTTGGCGATAAACCACTGCCGACTTATTCACAGCCGCATGGGGGGGTGTGTGTGTGTGTGTGTTCATGTAGGCAGATGTATTTGTGCTTAAGCTCAAAACTGAAAGACTATAATAGGAAATTTGTATAGACAAATAATAGAAAAGTTCGAAGAGATACATGCTATGTAATTGCCTTCGTTTAAGCAGGAAATGACATAATTTCCGGTCTGTTTTCCCTGACGAGAAAGACTGCAAATTTAAAATCAGTACACACGCACATAAATAGCCTCATAGCTAAAGGATATAACTAAAAGCAACAAAACAAAACAGAAAAACTACTATCATTTGTGGATCCCATCCATATTCAGATATGAATTTTATGAATATATGTAATTTATAGTATCATGACAATTGTATGTCACTATTTAAAATTATGTTAATAATGATGTAAAGCTTTATAATTATATATATAATAGATTTTCCTAATGTTGTTATAAAATATGACCAACCTGCACAAAAATATCTGCCCATAATGTACCCTGAATAAAAGAAATTGTAAAAAAAATTAAATAAAAACATTTTTGGAAAACAATAAAATCCCTGTGATGGACTGACCATTCGTCCAGGCAGTTTTGTAGATAGATAGACAGACAGATAGATTAGATTTGATTAGAACTAACTAATTCTTAATAATTATTAAAGTATTTAAAGTGCTTCTAAAAATAAGTCTGAAAATCAGCAACCCTGAGTCAATCCTGTGACGACAAACAGCAGTAAGTGTAAAAATAAAATAAATTGTATTGAAGTATTTAAAATGCTTCTAAAATAAATAGGAAATTCAGAAATCCAGAGTTGATCCTGTGACAACACACAACAGTAGTGTCTGCATTTAATGAACAGCCCATAATGTACCTTGAAAATAAAATAAAATAAAATAAAATTATTCTAATGTATTAATATGTATTTAAAGTGCTTCTAAACATTCTAAAAAATTAAACATTCAAATTTGATTCAGTGGGGTCTTTAAAGTTCATCTAACTCTCTCCATAGGTTGATTAGTGTGTCACAGTCTGTTTTTAATCTGCTCTGTAGTTTTAAATGAGCAGAATGGGCTTAGACAAATAAATCCACTGAAACATGGCTCCAATCAGATTAGGTGCTTTTCTAAATGAAGCAGCCAGTTTCAGTCTCATGGGTCTTTCAAAATCAGTATCATCTGTCATACCGTTGGATGTCACTGCTAGATGCTGATGGTTCCAGTCTGTCTTGTGTGTTACAGATGTGATGGAGCAGCAGAAGGTGCTGTGCTCCAGCTGTTTGGTGAGTGGAGTCCACACCCCTCCCATCCGGCGCCACAGCAAGCTGGCCACACTGGGGCGTATTTTCAGGCCGTGGAAATGGAGGAAAAAGAAAAACGAGAAGCTGAAGCAGAGCTCTACAGGTAAGACAAGCTGGGCTTTGTTTCACTTTTATTTTAATTTAGCTTATTACTGAAAACATGGCTATGTTGATAATACAAATGAACTTGCAAATATGTGTTTGATGAAATATTTTGAGTGTCGAGTAATGTAAAAGTACCTTTTATAAAAAAAAGGTGATAAAAATATTGTTTTATTTCCAATTCATAACAAAGACAATTAACAGAGATTTATGAATAGGGAAATATTGCAAGACATTATTCAATGATGTGGGGTAACACAAAATAGTGTAATATAAGCGGAAAACAAAACTAACAAAATTAGGAGGCTGTGGACCATAAATATATGGATGGCTATGAGTGATAGGTAGGTCATTAATAGCTCATTTTAATTTAATTTCACTGTTGAATGTAATCTTTAGCTAATATCAAAATGTATATCCATTTTTTCATATTGCACATTATAATGTCGTGATGCCTAAATTCACTTGTGGTGTTTAAAATTACTTATTTTAGTTTCTAGTATTTTAATTTTAATTTATTTAGACAATAAAGTATTACATTTTAATATCGACCATTTATTGGTTATTGACCATAACAAGAAAATAATTATCAGCTTATCAGTATTGGCCAGAATTTTAATATCAGTGCACCCGTAACTAGCACTTTACTAATATCTATAGAGACATTAATTTAGTTTGGGCTAAAAGAAAGAGATCCTAAAACAGAACCCTGGGGAACACAGCAGATAACAGGAGTGATGGAGGATGGAGAAACTGCTGTTTGTCATTGAAGGACAGAACCAGAGGAGAGTTTCCAGTGTCAGTGATGCCAATGCCAACATCTAAATGACAGAATCCAATAAAGACTTGAGGTCCAGAAGGAGTTGAATATTAAGCACCCCTGATTCAGCAAAAAGGAGGAGGTCAATTATGGCCCCACAGAGATCTGTCCCTGCTACTGTATGTAAAGGACAATATTCTGCCTAGTAAGGCTTGTATAGAATATAAGAAACTTGGTGCAGCACTAGTTGAGAGGCAACAGCTCTGTTCAGCAATGGTTTGTGATAGGTCTGTAATTATTTAACACAGAAGGACCTAGACAAAGTTTCCTGAGAATTAGGGTGTCCGCATCAGTTTTTAGTTCTAATGGAACAGTGCCAGAGGTAAGAGATCTGTTAATCAAGCATGAAATGAGTGTACTGATAGCAGACAGCTTTAGAAACAGTTTAGTTACATAATGAGACAATATCATCATCCAGTCAAAGTTAGAGGAGGAAGTGATACACAAATGATAGTAGATGCTTGCAGAGGATGAGGGAGGATGTCTGATGGTTTTGAGATTGGGAAAGAGCAGGCAAAGTCAATCCTATGAAAACAAACAGCAGAGGAAACCAGTAACTTTTCACTTCTTAGTAATTCTTCTTTAAAAATGATAGTTCCCCCAAAAATGAAAATTCCATCACCATTTACTCACCATCATGTCATTCCAGACCTGTACTGTATGACTTTCTTTCTTTTGTGGAACATAAAACAAGATATTTGGAAAAATGTTTCAACTGTTTTTGTACATACAATAAAAGCTAGTGGGTACCAATGTTGTTCTAGACCCCACTGACCCTTATTGTATGAACATTTTTTGTTCACTTTTGTGCTCCGCAGAAGAAAGAAAGTCATACAGGTTTGGATGAGGATGAGTAAATACTCTTTAAGAGATTGAAGATCACTCATAGCCAAGATGTTTTTTGTTCACTTTTGTGCTCCGCAGAAGAAAGAAAGTCATACAGGTTTGGATGAGGATGAGTAAATACTCTTTAAGAGTAAGATGCGAGTCTCTAATGATATATATTTAGTGTTTATGGGGACCCAGGTTCAAATCCACCAATCCAGATAGCAAATGAAGTGATCAGCATGCATTTTTATTGTATAAGTATCTTTTACATTTTGTTCTATTGGGAAAACATGGCAGGTGTTCATGATCTGTTATTGGACTGACCATTTAATTTCAAGTAAAGTTGCAACTACACTCAAAAATATTTATGTATGACTAATAAAGATGCATCACTTCATTTTTTTTTTAGTTTGTTTACGTTTTAACTAATCCAAATGGATGTCAATTTTATATGCAATTCAAATACATAAATCTTCAATTTAGGTCTGTGTCTGTATGATGCTTCTGAACAGCACACGTGAACCCCTGGCATAACTGGAGAGATAATTTGGAGAAATCAAGAGCCAGACGTTTACAATCAGCAAAATGTATAGCTGTTCACTTTCTAGCACCACCATGAAGATCTCAAATAACATCTCAAAGTCAAAGTCACAAACACCTACAGTACCCACATCATGTCATCCAGAAGATGGCACAGATGGGGCTAGTGTGAAAGAAACTGGTCATGCGTATGTATATGTTGCGTAACATGTGTTGATGAATGTTTGTGAGTTGAGCAATCTAATGCAAACTTGAAAGTGTGAAAACACTGTTCCTCTGTGTGCAGATGTGGCCTTGGCTTGTGGACTTAACTCTCCAGACCTCAGCTCTCCCATCCAGGGCATCTCCGATGCTGAGATCCGGCTACCTGGCTCTCAAGGGCCCATTCTTAGCATCAGTAGGATGGAGTACCTCAGCTCAGAGCAAGACAATCTCCCTACTGGTGAGTGCTCTTTATCATTTTTATGTATAATTAATTATACATAATTATTTATATTTACTGTAAATAAAACATATATATATACTACCGCTCAAAATTTTGGGATCAGTAAGACTTGTAATGTTTTTTAAAGAAGTCTCTTATGCCCATCAAGGCTGCATTTATTTGATAAAAAAAAACTGAAATCTTGCAAAATGTTATTACAATATAAAATAATGGTTTCTATTTTAATACACTTTAAAATATAATTTATTTCTGTGATGCAAAGCTGAATTTCCATCAGCCATTAGTCCAGTGTTCAGTGTCACATGATCCTTCAGAAATCATTCTAATATGGTGATTTATTATCAGTGCTGGAAACTGTTGTGCTGCTTAATATTTTTTTGGAACATGTGATACTTTTTTCAGGATTCTTTGATGAATAAAAAGTTTTAAAAAAGCATTTATTTAAAATAGAAATCTTTTCTAACAATTTACACTACCGTTCAAAGTTTGGGGTCAGTACATTTTTAACCTTTTATTCAGCATGGATGTGTTAAATTGATAAGAAGTGATAGCAAAGATTTATATTGTTAGAAAAGATTTATATTTTGAATAAATTCTATTCTTTTAAACTTTTTATTCATCAAAGAATCCTGAAAAAGTATCGCAGTTTCCAAAAAAAAAAAATTGGCAGCACAACTGTTGCCAACATTGATAATTCTAATAATAAATCAGTATATTAGAATGATTTCTGAAGGATCATGTGACACTTTAGACTGAAGTAATGGCTGATGGAAATTCAGCTTTGCATCACAGAAATAAATTATATTTTAAAGTGTATTAAAATAGAAACCATTATTTTATATTGTAATAACATTTTGCAAGATTTCTGTTTTTTCTGTATTTTTGATCAAATAAATGCAGCCTTGATGGGCATAAGAGACTTCTTTAAAAAACATTACAAGTCTTACTGATCCCAAACTTTTGAGCGGTAGTGTGTGTGTGTGTGTGTATGTGTATATATATATATACACACACACACACTACTGGTCAAAAATTTGGAATAATAGAGAATTCAGCAAGGCTGTATTCATTTGATCAAAAATACAGTAAAAACAGTAATATTGTGAAATATTATTACAATTTAAAACAACTATTATCCATTTGAATATATTTTAAAAAGTAATTAATTTTTTTGATGGCAAAGATGACTTTTCAGCAGCCATGATGAAATTATTCTAATACGCTGATTTGCTGCTCAATAAACATTTCTTATCATTATCAATGTTAAAAAAAAAAATTCTGTTTAATGTTTTTGTGGAAACCATGATACTGTACCATCCAAAGCTTTGATGTATGTAAGTATTTAAATAAGTAAATAAAAAACAAAACAAAAAAAACATAACTATTCAAAACTTTTGAGTACTGCTATTTGCTCAGCCAATAGCAGGAGTTCTGGGCGGCCCTAACTGTTTGACCGACCAATAGAGTACATGGGGAGTGATCGGGAAACCTGTCTGGAAACGGTCATTATTTTTTGCAAATATAATCCTTGACAATTAAACAACATTACCAGGATGTGTTAAATTGTTAAGAAGTGATAGCAAAGATTTATATTGTTAGAAAAGATTTATATTTTGAATAAATTCTATTCTTTTAAACTTTTTATTCATCAAAGAATCCTGAAAAAGTATCGCAGTTTCCAAAAAAAAAAAATTGGCAGCACAACTGTTGCCAACATTGATAATTCTAATAATAAATCAGTATATTAGAATGATTTCTGAAGGATCATGTGACACTTTAGACTGAAGTAATGGCTGATGGAAATTCAGCTTTGCATCACAGAAATAAATTATATTTTAAAGTGTATTAAAATAGAAACCATTATTTTATATTGTAATAACATTTTGCAAGATTTCTGTTTTTTCTGTATTTTTGATCAAATAAATGCAGCCTTGATGGGCATAAGAGACTTCTTTAAAAAACATTACAAGTCTTACTGATCCCAAACTTTTGAGCGGTAGTGTGTGTGTGTGTGTGTATGTGTATATATATATACACACACACACACACTACTGGTCAAAAATTTGGAATAATAGAGAATTCAGCAAGGCTGTATTCATTTGATCAAAAATACAGTAAAAACAGTAATATTGTGAAATATTATTACAATTTAAAACAACTATTATCCATTTGAATATATTTTAAAAAGTAATAAAATTTTTTGATGGCAAAGATGACTTTTCAGCAGCCATGATGAAATTATTCTAATACGCTGATTTGCTGCTCAATAAACATTTCTTATCATTATCAATGTTAAAAAAAAAAATTCTGTTTAATGTTTTTGTGGAAACCATGATACTGTACCATCCAAAGCTTTGATGTATGTAAGTATTTAAATAAGTAAATAAAAAACAAAACAAAAAAAACATAACTATTCAAAACTTTTGAGTACTGCTATTTGCTCAGCCAATAGCAGGAGTTCTGGGCGGCCCTAACTGTTTGACCGACCAATAGAGTACATGGGGAGTGATCGGGAAACCTGTCTGGAAACGGTCATTATTTTTTGCAAATATAATCCTTGACAATTAAACAACATTACCAATTAACCACATGTTTGAATTCCGTTCCTAATAGTTTAAACTATGATTTCTTTGCTTCCTATCAGTGGTAGATTCTGTGCAGGACAATGAGACAACGGAAGAGCCAAATTCAAACGAGGAAGGGGAGGAAGACGAGGAGGCGGTTTCTTCCGTAAATGAGAATGAAGATGTTGAGGAAGATGAAGAAGACAGAGACGAAGATGAGGAAGATGAACTGCAGGAACAGTCTCCTCCAAGCGGTCATGGCAATCTCGTTTCTCAGCTAAGCATGGAAGAAGGTATGTTCATTTTCACATAATGAAACTCAGATAAAATTATAAGATAATATTTCAGTATACGAATGCATTTTTTTATTTCCACAGACCCAAGTAAAGTCGTCATCACATCAGTGCCTCAGTCAAACTCTTTTCTTCAAAAAGAACTGTATAGAGTCCCTGACGGCCCTAGTCCTGTAGTTTTAAGAGGGCCTTTTACTAATCCTGTGGGGTCGCCTCATATAGGCAGCATACATCCACTACTGCCCCCTAGCTGTATAATAGAAGAACTGCATCGAGCACTGGCAACAAAGCTCAGGCAGGACAGGTGAGGATGTTACCCTATTTTTATTATTGCTCGATTTCAGAAAGACATTTTATAAAAGGTTTTATAAGCATTTTCAATAGTTATTACTAATGTATCACATTAAAATGTGTCTCTTTCTTTAGCATTGAGCGAGAGCCAAGTGGAGATGGTGAAAGCAGAAAGGAAGCGGAGGAAAACAAGGAAAATGTTCGACAGGACCACTGCTTCACTGACGCTTCAGGAATTATCTACGATATTGACAGCTGGAACGAATCTGTCATTTCTGGTGGGTTTACCACATAACTTTTAATACTTGTAACTTTTTTACACCTAATATGTCATTAGATAGCTACTGCAATGATTTATTATAGCTAGACAATCAGGTAGAATTTGTATGTTTGCCATGATATTATCATTGTATCATTGTGTTTTTTCATATTGTATAATAAAAGTAGCAAAAGAGATCGATCATTGGTCATTTTTGTCTGGAAATCTGGATTACTTTGGGTTGTTCTGTCAGTAAGTTATGAATTATATGGCAAACGTGTGCAGGCACATTGCCAAGGAGGATGAAGAAGGAACTGCTGGCTGTGAAGCTTCGGAATCGTCCCAGCAAACAGGAGCTGGAGGATAAGAACATTTTTCCTGTGCGGAGCGACCAGGAGAGACAGGAGATCCGTCAACAGATTGAAATGAAGCTTGCCAAGTAAGTCATAAATATATGTTGACTATACGGTATATATATAAGTATATAAAATATTACACTGCCCTCTTCAGGACGTTTTTGGAAATACATGAAAATGTCATCTTCAGGGACTGCTTAATACTTTTTTTTTTTTGCCAAACAAACCTGTTATAACCAACATACACTGTCAACCTTAATTCTACTATTAATTTAGCTACTAATTTTGATCTGTTAATTACACTGGGAAGCTTTGTGCTCGAGTCGTATGCTCAATCTCCTTCGTTACGGACAGCAGATATGTTTACCTATATCACTTAAGGATTATATAGACAAGTGAACTTGTGAAACAGGTTATGAAAACAGATTTTGTGCAAACGTAGTGTTAGTATGTGTACAGTGGCTTGTAATCTGATGTAAAGTACATAGCAGAAACTGGGATTACAGTTGATTGAGGATTGGAGTTAATCTGAGGGAATAAATCCACTACAGCTTTCATTTGATTATATCACCTGCCTTCGACTTCAGAAGTTCAGTTCAGTACATGATGCACTGCTCACGTTTGGTGTAGTGATACAAGCGATTGAGAACCTTCCACAGACTGCAACAACAATGCTTTGCTTTGCTTTTGCGTTGCTGTTTTCTGGTTTGCTATTGTTTGTCTTGCTTTGAGTTTTGTTTTGTTTATTTTGCTTTGTGGTTTGGTTTGCTCAGCTGTATTGTTTTTGTGGTTTGCTTTATTTTTTCTGTGTTTTTTTGTTTAGCTGTGTTGTGCTTTTTTGTTTTGATTTGTTTTGTTGTATTTTGTTTTGCTTTTCTTTGTTTTGTGGTTTGTTTTGCTTTGCTGTGCTGTTTGGTTTTGCGTTGTTTGTTTTGTTTTGCTTTGCTGTGTTGTGTTGTTCGGTTTTGTTTTGTGTTATGCTTTGCTTGGTGTTTTGTGGTTTGTTTTGCTTTGTGTTTTGAACTTCTGCTAATATTGCTACTTGCAGTAAGACATTATAAAACATTGTCTAGAGCTGAATAAAGATGCATCAGTCAAGGACAAGCAGTGGTTTTCAGAGGGGTAAAGCAATTTTGTGGACTAATAATGTTCAGAATTAGTTGCATCAGATTGAGAGAACCTCCATTAAAGTATTCAGACCATAGAGTTTGATGAGAAGAAAAGAGACAATTTCACTGACATGCCAGAAATGACTGAGCTCTGTAAGCTACATTTAAAAAAATTTTGTTCAGTGTATTTACATACATAATTATTCAGGTGCATGTGTAATAACTTGCGAAACCTTGAGGCTACAGCAGCACTTCTTCTTCGTCGTCCTCTTGTCTGATGCACTCGACCAAGCGTTCTAACCTCGCCCCTCCCCTCCCCACCCCCCAACCAATCGAATTTCAGGAAGGCGGGAATTATTTTAATGATATTCTAATGGGCCGCTTTGTGATATCACAAAACCCGGAAAACAAATGCTGTAGTCCAAACGAGCCGCTCGTTGTAGTTCTTGAAAAGGGATTTTTTTTAAACGAAATATCTCCCTTTGGAGTGGACTTTGAGATTTGTAAGTTTGAAGATCTTTTTTATGCCCAAACATACACACTGACTAAAATTCAAAAAGTGAAAAAGCATAATAGGACCCCTTTAAGGCTCATCTTTAGGCAGACTGCACTTTCAACTCCTGAGTGTCTCTGTCACTAGTGGAACCAGTGAATTTCATTGGTCAATTGCGATTTCAGTCCCTGGAGAAAACATGGACTTTACTTGCAAACAATGCGTTACTTGCAACATGGACATGTATCTCATAACTGGTATGCAGCCCCATTAATAACATCATTTTTTTAATCTCACAGCTCAACCAGAGGCCAACAGTTGATGAACTAAGAGAAAGAAAGATTCTGATCCGCTTCAGTGACTATGTGGAGGTGGCCAAAGCCCAGGACTATGACAGGAGAGCTGACAAACCCTGGACAAGACTGTCTGCTGCTGACAAGGTATGAGACAAAGACATGGTTCTTACACATTTACCCTCTGCCAGTAGGGGGCGCTTTTGGAGCAGCAGAAATATATCGGTTTCCCCGGTAACAGCTGTACACAAAGCTGCGCCACACACGTAAATGCTGTCGATTAATAGAATACATTAAGGAATGTTTAAAAAAGATTGTGTGTGGGGAAATGGCACGAATGGCACATTCTTCACATTGTTTAGTTTAGTAGCATGAAAAACAAATTCATTCATTTGGCACATGCACTGAACAAAACTCCGGCATTTTCAGCTGCTAGTACTCGAGGATTTAGTCTTCGTTTTAACCATAATTTTTATTTGTCGTTTTCAAGCCAACGCTCACTGCCGCGGCTACCTCCGATCATCTGCCTGCCACTCCATCAGAGGGCGCACATCAAAAAAGACTGGTAGATACACTACAGCCACACGCGTAGACTCGAGTGCATTTTTATTTTAGTTTTATGCAAAATTCAAGCATTTTTAAGGATTTCAAGCATCCGTACGAACCCTGCAAAGAGCTGATGTCAGCAAATCTAGTTACTAAAAAGCAATCTAATTTGTGTCAGTAGTCTTCTTGCTCTGCCCATGTGACTCGGTTGACTCATTATGGAGTGCGCATGTTACTGGAGGATGCGCTTAAGTGGCTTTTATTTGCGATTCCACAGGCGGCCATCCGTAAAGAGCTGAACGAGTTCAAAAGCACTGAGATGGAGGTCCATGCTTCAAGCAAACACCTAACAAGGTCAGTATGCGTGTACAGCACTCACAGATCTGCCTGCACTATTTTTAGATCCACAAAATCCAAACAGCCTGGTCAAAAAAGACAGGGCCACAAATGCGTTTGCGTATAAAAAGCATGAATGTGTCACCTTGACATGAATTGTTTTGGATAAGAGGTTCCTCTCGACATAATCATAACATTAGTGGCCATTAGAGCTCTTATGCATGCTCTTACTAAAAATAACTGATTGATGCAACAGCCTTGTCCCTATTATATCGTTTGTGATTGCGAAAGGCACCTTTGTTGATTTCTCTCCTCTCCATCAGGTTTCACAGGCCTTGAGGGGGTTTTCTTCTGTGAAGAAAATGCTGAAAGCAGTGTTTGTGTTAAAATCCTGGAGGTGCCTCTTCCAGAGCCGTGGCTTCGTCCATGGGATTCCCTTATTCTTCCAGCGCCCTGGGCCGAGTGGTGTTTGGGTGCGGTTAGCGCCAGAGGCTGCGTCTCCACCGCAGGCGGCCACAGGAGAAACCTGAAGAGCATCTGCAGATATATTTATCCTGAGGCTGACAGAGTGTAGCGGCAGAGGACTTTTTGATGTTTTTAGAACTGGACTGCATTTCAGTGACTGCAAAGAAAAGACGAATCAGTTCTGGGTAAATGTTTGTGTACATGTAACCAGCTCCACTCTGAAAAAAAAAGTAAAAAAAAAAAAAAAAGAAGAAGAAAAAAAACACTTGAGGGTTAATAAGCCTGCTATAAATGAATTTCATATTTACTGTACAAAAGTCAGTTTGAACAGGGTTGTTCATGTCATCACTTGAAAAAAAAAAAAAAAACTTTGTAAGCACTACTTGTCTTCAAAATACAATTTTGGAAATACTTCTGTGTTGTTGTTTTTTTAAGTTTAATTATATACACACTACAGTTCAAAAGTTTAGGGTTTTTAATGTTTTCTCTCCAAGGCTGCATTTATCAAAAAATAAATCAGTAATATTGTGAAATAAAGCTGAATTTTCAGCATCCTTACTGATTTTATTTATTACTTTTTTTGTGAAAACTAATTTTTTTTTATTCTTTGATGAATCGTAAAAATTGCATTTATTTGTAATAAAACTCTTTACTATAAATTACATTATAAATGTCTTTACTGTTACTTTTGATCAATTCAGTGCATCCTTGCTGAATAAGATTAATTTCTAAAAAAAAAAAACTGACCCCAAACTTTTGAACAATAGATAACACTGCAGGAAATCTGTCTCACTGTCTCTACCATGAAACTATTTCCTCTTCCCTAAATCCCATCTATTTTGCCGGTTCTATTTACGGAGGACAAACGAAAATGCATTAAAGGCAGGGTAGGTGATTTGGTTCAAAAACATTTTTTGTTATGCTGGTTGAAAGTCTCTTCACATCCCGATAGCAATTACTAAGTTAAGTGGTCTAAATTTATTTATAAGTATTTATATCATCTGTGGAAGCGTAGGACCATAAAATGTTCGTCCAATATCCCTCGGTCTGAGGGCTACGATAGGCTGTTCTACCTGCATACCTCCACACAGCCTGTTTGCGCAGATGTGATACGTCATCAGTGCGTTCCATCAAGCTATTGCAGACCGAGTGAGAATGGAAGATGTTATTATTGTAATATTATGTGTTTTATACTTTGATGTTTTCTCACCGGTGAATGAGACATGAGGTAATCAAACAGTGTTGCATTCAACCCTCCACAAACATCATCTCTCACAGTGTCGCTGGTTAGCTGATGGTCTGCTTGTGCACGTTCATGTGTTTTGGAGGAGGCGTGGCTTTGGAGAGTGATTTGCAGGGAGGGTGGGATCTTATGCTTTCAAAGCTAGCCTCTCCAAAATCGCCTACTCTCCCTTTAAAGTCACTCAATCTGATCTTAATTTTGAGTGCCATCAACTGCAAGTAAAAATGAGAAAAAACCCTTTCAGTAAAGCTTTCTGTGTTTATTTTTCAACATCTCCCATCAACTGAACCCATGAGGATTGCTTATTCAGGCCCTTGCTAGTGAATGCAAAAAAAGTTCTTATGATGGTTTCAGAATCCAGTATCCCTTTTTCATTTCTGCACATATAAATCTGAAGTTGATTATTATGAGGTGGGATGTTTGAAATAAATGCATTTGTTCTTACATTACCTATAACATTTACTTATTTGCTTTTCACAACTATTCATATTAAAAACCATATATGGCATATATAAGCAAATATGTGCGCAAAAACCATGTACAGCCAACCATTTTTTCACGAAGACCAGAATAAACGGCATGAAGTACAAATATTAAACCTTTTGAGTAGGAAAAATTTAAAAGAACATAACATTAATGATATCCAAGCATACAAACACATTTTAGGAGTAGCTTAAAGTGATTTTCAAACGGCAGATTTTTTTCCCCTCAGGTCAGAACCTCGATGTATCAGGGAAGAACAAGGATTGCAGTGCTCTTCCCACACTCGTCAACTCTTCCTCGTGCTACAAAGACAAAAAAACTTGAATTCAGTCCTGCAGAATTTTGTGCCTAAGTATAAAATATCAGTTTGGGCTCTCTCACCATTTCTTTGAAGAAACGCTCCTGAACTGACTTCATGTTCTTCTTCATCAAAGACATCTGCAACAGAAGCAGACAATCAAAGGTTAAAATGGCTTGAACTGTAAATATGACTAAACATAGAACCATGTTGGAGCTCACTCAAAAAAGGTTCAGGTCCTCACCTCCACAGAGAAGATTTGTTTCTTATATTCTAGACTATCACACACGTCATTCTGAATGGTGCTTTTCAACTGCTGTAATCTGAGACAAAACAACAAGACTAAGCAAGACAAGCACTTACTGTCACGTGTTTGTTTCTGTTTAGTTCCTGTCTGCCCTTATTTGGTTCAGTTCCTGAACTCATTTGGTTAATCATCGTTTATTCAGATCACCTGTGTTGTATTATTCATCTCGTTTGCTCCTTAGTTTGCCTATCCTTATAAGCCCTCAGTTTCTGTCAAGTTTTTGTGCTGGATTAATGTTATTTTCAACGGTCTAAGTGTGTTGATGTTTATTAAAGACTCCTTTACTTCTACTCCTTCGTCGTGCGCCGTCCTACAACCACGACCCTCGGTCTGAGGGCTACGATAGGCTGTTCTACCTGCATACCTCCACACAGCCTGTTTGCGCAGATGTGATACGTCATCAGTGCGTTCCATCAAGCTATTGCAGACCGAGTGAGAATGGAAGATGTTATTATTGTAATATTATGTGTTTTATACTTTGATGTTTTCTCACCGGTGAATGAGACATGAGGTAATCAAACAGTGTTGCATTCAACCCTCCACAAACATCATCTCTCACAGTGTCGCTGGTTAGCTGATGGTCTGCTTGTGCACGTTCATGTGTTTTGGAGGAGGCGTGGCTTTGGAGAGTGATTTGCAGGGAGGGTGGGATCTTATGCTTTCAAAGCTAGCCTCTCCAAAATCGCCTACTCTCCCTTTAAAGTCACTCAATCTGATCTTAATTTTGAGTGCCATCAACTGCAAGTAAAAATGAGAAAAAACCCTTTCAGTAAAGCTTTCTGTGTTTATTTTTCAACATCTCCCATCAACTGAACCCATGAGGATTGCTTATTCAGGCCCTTGCTAGTGAATGCAAAAAAAGTTCTTATGATGGTTTCAGAATCCAGTATCCCTTTTTCATTTCTGCACATATAAATCTGAAGTTGATTATTATGAGGTGGGATGTTTGAAATAAATGCATTTGTTCTTACATTACCTATAACATTTACTTATTTGCTTTTCACAACTATTCATATTAAAAACCATATATGGCATATATAAGCAAATATGTGCGCAAAAACCATGTACAGCCAACCATTTTTTCACGAAGACCAGAATAAACGGCATGAAGTACAAATATTAAACCTTTTGAGTAGGAAAAATTTAAAAGAACATAACATTAATGATATCCAAGCATACAAACACATTTTAGGAGTAGCTTAAAGTGATTTTCAAACGGCAGATTTTTTTCCCCTCAGGTCAGAACCTCGATGTATCAGGGAAGAACAAGGATTGCAGTGCTCTTCCCACACTCGTCAACTCTTCCTCGTGCTACAAAGACAAAAAAACTTGAATTCAGTCCTGCAGAATTTTGTGCCTAAGTATAAAATATCAGTTTGGGCTCTCTCACCATTTCTTTGAAGAAACGCTCCTGAACTGACTTCATGTTCTTCTTCATCAAAGACATCTGCAACAGAAGCAGACAATCAAAGGTTAAAATGGCTTGAACTGTAAATATGACTAAACATAGAACCATGTTGGAGCTCACTCAAAAAAGGTTCAGGTCCTCACCTCCACAGAGAAGATTTGTTTCTTATATTCTAGACTATCACACACGTCATTCTGAATGGTGCTTTTCAACTGCTGTAATCTGAGACAAAACAACAAGACTAAGCAAGACAAGCACTTACTGTCACGTGTTTGTTTCTGTTTAGTTCCTGTCTGCCCTTATTTGGTTCAGTTCCTGAACTCATTTGGTTAATCATCGTTTATTCAGATCACCTGTGTTGTATTATTCATCTCGTTTGCTCCTTAGTTTGCCTATCCTTATAAGCCCTCAGTTTCTGTCAAGTTTTTGTGCTGGATTAATGTTATTTTCAACGGTCTAAGTGTGTTGATGTTTATTAAAGACTCCTTTACTTCTACTCCTTCGTCGTGTGCTGTCCTACAACCACAACCGCATGACACTTACATTACAAATCCATTGTAAACTGAATTATTCAAAGCAGTCAATCAGTCACTTTGTTTCAATCTAGAGAAATAGACAAATTCTCTGAAACATGCCGGCAAACACTGAGTATCTTTAAAAAAAAGTGCTTTTTGGTGTGGATGTAAACACTGACTAACTGTTTAATTTAAAGCTTTTTTTTTTTTAAATTATGCAACCCTCAGTGCACTAAAACAAAAAATGTACCCCGTCTAAAATCTTGTCTTTGAGCTGCCCTTTTTTAAATTACAGAGTGAACAAATAACCAGCATTACATAAACTTTTCTGTTTTTCCCCATGTTGCATCTTGTTAGCTTGGCAGAAAAATCCTGTTTGTTACTGTGACCCAGCACAACCCACAGATTGTTTTATAGTCATAAACAAATCTTGTAGATGTGATTACATATTATGCGAACAGAACAGTTATCAAGGGAAGATTAGTTTACATTTACATTAGAGCTGGGAAATCTATGGCAATCATCTCATGTTTGTGCAGCAGCTTTTATATTCTCACCTCTTGGTTCCTTTCTCCTGGTAAGCGTGGAAGGCCAAAGTCTGCTTTTCCCAGTAAGTCTGTGGATATAGTGTGATTAAATCAAAGGCCATTTACATATATATTTTACACATTTACTTGCCAAAATCCATTTGCATTAATAGAGACTTGGTGAGTCAGAACAATTGTTACCGTCAATTCCTCCTCCATGCTTCTCAAAACAATGTCATCTTGCTCCAGGTTTGCTATTTCACGCACCAGGACTTGTTTAACTTTCTCTAGCCTCTGACTACTATATAAGGAAAAACAGAAAACAAAAGGGCTAAATATCAGACCTGTTTTAGGGCAGAAACTCTGACCTCTTCTGAGTCAAGGGTCATGCCTGACCTATACTGGTATATTGGACACTGACGGAGGACATGTGCTGCTGTAAGGTCTTCAAAGTCTGCCTGGTGTAAAGATCCATTGTCCTGCAGCGATTCTGACAAACACACACGATAAGTTATTGGACAACGCTACTCACTGAATGCTTCAAGATGTGCAGCAGGTTTTGCATGCAAGGATGTGAATAAATAATTGCTTCATGGAGCTGGCGTGTTTAGCCAGGGCTGATTTAGTGAGAAAAGTGAGATGACAAGCACCTTGATCTTCCTCTTAAACTCTGAGCTGAACTGATGGCAGATAAAGCCCACCTGCTGAGCAGGCTGGGTCACATCAATGTCTGCCTCCACACTGGCATGCCTGCAACTGGACTTCGTACAAGATGACAGTGTCTCCACTTCCTTGGCTGGAGGGAACACACACACATACCCACGAGTCACTCGTCAGCACATTCAAAAGCGCACACAACTGCATAGTAGCTACAGGACAGCTGAGCTTCTGAATCATTCACTTTTTTATATTTACAGTACCGTTCAAAAATTTGGGGTCAGTGGGACTTTTTGTCTGTAAGAAATACATTTTATTCAGCTAGAATGCATTAAACTGATCAAAAGTGACAGTAAATGTTAAATGTAAAAAAAAGCTCTATTAATCAAAGCATCCTGAAAAAAAGATGTATCATGGTTTTCACAAAAATATTAAAAAGTACAACGGTTTTCAACATTGATAATAATAAGAAATGCATCAAGTCAGCATATTACAATGAAAAATACATTTTTTCCCCATTTTTGATCAAATAAATGCAGCCTTGGTGAGCATAAGAGACTTCTTTCAAAAACATTAAAAAGCCTTATCAACCCCGAAACTTTTGAACAACAGTGTACATTTATCAATAGCATGTTCTTAGCTTTATTATTGTGCCCAGAAACACTTTCTCTCTCATTACTGGATATTATTGTTTCCTTGGCCCTTTTATTGAGGCCTTTCTGGTAACTTCTCTTTCTTCTCCTGTTCTCTGTGACTATGTCCTCCTCTTCTTCCTCTGAGCTGCTCTGATCCTTCATCAGCAGTTTAATATTGGGGTCTGAGGCACAGCAACACAAAGTCATTCACAGAATCAAATGCAATCTAGTTTCTTAATCAGGAATTTGAGAAAACAATAGATTTTCCCAGCAGAATCAACAATAAGTGCCTGATGAGTCAGGATTGGGATTCATTTGTGTCAGAGAAAGTTAATGAGATGCATGACTTGACTTGACTTGAAAAATGTTGCTGCATCATGCTTGGTTGCTCCGCCCAGAGTGAAATCTCATTGTTCTAGCTTTACATGGATGTATATCAAATATGTTCTGATTGGCTGGTATTACCACAAGGGGAAAAAATCTTTAAAAAAATCAACTAGGCACCATGCCTAATTGATGAACACTGAGTATCTTTAAAAAAAAGTGCTTTTTGGTGTGGATGTAAACACTGACTAACTGTTTAATTTAAAGCTTTTTTTTTTTTAAATTATGCAACCCTCAGTGCACTAAAACAAAAAATGTACCCCGTCTAAAATCTTGTCTTTGAGCTGCCCTTTTTTAAATTACAGAGTGAACAAATAACCAGCATTACATAAACTTTTCTGTTTTTCCCCATGTTGCATCTTGTTAGCTTGGCAGAAAAATCCTGTTTGTTACTGTGACCCAGCACAACCCACAGATTGTTTTATAGTCATAAACAAATCTTGTAGATGTGATTACATATTATGCGAACAGAACAGTTATCAAGGGAAGATTAGTTTACATTTACATTAGAGCTGGGAAATCTATGGCAATCATCTCATGTTTGTGCAGCAGCTTTTATATTCTCACCTCTTGGTTCCTTTCTCCTGGTAAGCGTGGAAGGCCAAAGTCTGCTTTTCCCAGTAAGTCTGTGGATATAGTGTGATTAAATCAAAGGCCATTTACATATATATTTTACACATTTACTTGCCAAAATCTATTTGCATTAATAGACACTTGGTGAGTCAGAACAATTGTTACCGTCAATTCCTCCTCCATGCTTCTCAAAACAATGTCATCTTGCTCCAGGTTTGCTATTTCACGCACCAGGACTTGTTTAACTTTCTCTAGCCTCTGACTACTATATAAGGAAAAACAGAAAACAAAAGGGCTAAATATCAGACCTGTTTTAGGGCAGAAACTCTGACCTCTTCTGAGTCAAGGGTCATGCCTGACCTATACTGGTATATTGGACACTGACGGAGGACATGTGCTGCTGTAAGGTCTTCAAAGTCTGCCTGGTGTAAAGATCCATTGTCCTACAGCGATTCTGACAAACACACACGATAAGTTATTGGACAACGCTACTCACTGAATGCTTCAAGATGTGCAGCAGGTTTTGCATGCAAGGATGTGAATAAATAATTGCTTCATGGAGCTGGCGTGTTTAGCCAGGGCTGATTTAGTGAGAAAAGTGAGATGACAAGCACCTTGATCTTCCTCTTAAACTCTGAGCTGAACTGATGGCAGATAAAGCCCACCTGCTGAGCAGGCTGGGTCACATCAATGTCTGCCTCCACACTGGCATGCCTGCAACTGGACTTCGTACAAGATGACAGTGTCTCCACTTCCTTGGCTGGAGGGAACACACACACATACCCACGAGTCACTCGTCAGCACATTCAAAAGCGCACACAACTGCATAGTAGCTACAGGACAGCTGAGCTTCTGAATCATTCACTTTTTTATATTTACAGTACCGTTCAAAAATTTGGGGTCAGTGGGACTTTTTGTCTGTAAGAAATACATTTTATTCAGCTAGAATGCATTAAACTGATCAAAAGTGACAGTAAATGTTAAATGTAAAAAAAAGCTCTATTAATCAAAGCATCCTGAAAAAAAGATGTATCATGGTTTTCACAAAAATATTAAAAAGTACAACGGTTTTCAACATTGATAATAATAAGAAATGCATCAAGTCAGCATATTACAATGAAAAATAATTTTTTTTCCCATTTTTGATCAAATAAATGCAGCCTTGGTGAGCATAAGAGACTTCTTTCAAAAACATTAAAAAGCCTTATCAACCCCGAAACTTTTGAACAACAGTGTACATTTATCAATAGCATGTTCTTAGCTTTATTGTTGTGCCCAGAAACACTTTCTCTCTCATTACTGGATATTATTGTTTCCTTGGCCCTTTTATTGAGGCCTTTCTGGTAACTTCTCTTTCTTCTCCTGTTCTCCGTGACTATGTCCTCCTCTTCTTCCTCTGAGCTGCTCTGATCCTTCATCAGCAGTTTAATATTGGGGTCTGAGGCACAGCAACACAAAGTCATTCACAGAATCAAATGCAATCTAGTTTCTTAATCAGGAATTTGAGAAAACAATAGATTTTCCCAGCAGAATCAACAATAAGTGCCTGATGAGTCAGGATTGGGATTCATTTGTGTCAGAGAAAGTTAATGAGATGCATGACTTGACTTGACTTGAAAAATGTTGCTGCATCATGCTTGGTTGCTCCGCCCAGAGTGAAATCTCATTGTTCTAGCTTTACATGGATGTATATCAAATATGTTCTGATTGGCTGGTATTACCACAAGGGAAAAAAATCTTTAAAAAAATCAACTAGGCACCATGCCTAATTGATGCATAATCTTTTGTAAAAGGTGATAAATACCCTTACTAGGAGTGAAGGATTTATTAGTAGGCCCAAACAGCTTCCTGGGCTTCATTTTCAGAGCTAGCTGTGAGGGAGAAGGAGCCTTATTCTCTTTGTCCTCCTCACTGTCCTCATCTCTCTCTGAAAGACTAGCGGAGTGGCTCAGGGCAAGATGCTTGTGGACGGCTGTTGGACCTGATTGGCAATTGGTACAAAAAAGATGCTAATTTTTGCATACTAACAAATAAAATAAAACACACAACATAATTAAAAAATCTCTTCACCTGACTTAAATTCTAGTCTCTCAACCTTACTTCCTTTCTGGCATGCGGGTGTTTTCTGTAAGTCAAACAAAAATGAAGTGGTGTGTTACTGAAATGCACTACTATGAAAAGTGCAACTGTCCTCAGAAATAAACTGTAAAGCTGTACCTCTAGTTCAGTGCACATCAGGGCCATGTTGCTCACAGATATGTGAGAGGATTGGCTCATTGTCACAGAAATGACAGACTTTCTTTCAAAAGATGTTGGGCTGGTTTTGTTCATCACACCTCTCTGCTCCTCCTGGAGGTCTGGAGGGATGTGTGGGGAGGGCAGGGTGGATTTCTCCAGGGGTTGAGTTGGGATCAACCTGCAGGATTGGTACAGAGGACAAGGGCGAACTTGCATTACATAAACATACTCATCTTTAGATCAGAGAGGTAATGACAAAGACAAAGATGTATCAGCAAGAAAGTAGAATGTATGAGCAGCAGCTTTCGCTAAAAGAACAAATCAATAATACTCTCAAGGCACAATATTATTAGTACATTCAGTGGCCCCTAAAAGTATCTGGATACTTAAGCCACACTTAAAATGACAGAATGTATTGTATTACACCATAAAATATAAACCCATGTGGGATGTTAAAGACAGAACGATAAAACACAGGAGACTCTTTGATGAATAGAAAGCTTAAGAAAACAGCATTTATTTGAAATAGATATCTTTTTTTGTAACATTATACATGCCACTTTACTGTCACTTTTGATCAATTTAATGCATACTTGCTGAATAACTTTAATTATTTTAAGCATTTTTACCCAATGCAATGAAATTCTTACATTTTAATTTTGTGGTCCAAATATGATAACTGTATGGTCAGAAATAACAATGAAATGAGCCTTGAGGGCTGTAATGTGGCCCATTAGTATTTGATCTTTCCATCGATTTGATTTAAAAACCTGCACTTGTTTCCGGTTTACCTGTGCAGCGGGTGGATTCCACTTAGAGCCCCTTGAGGTTGTGGAAACAGGTGTTATGGAGTGAGAAGGCAGTTTCAGAGCACCTTTATTCCCTGTGGTTTTATAGAGAGACAAGGCCTGCATTTCTTTGAGAAAAGTGAGAGGCTGTAGTGGATGAGAATCGGCTTCAATTGGAGAGATGGACAGAGAACGGAGAGGTGTAGCACTGGATCTCAAGTTATTTGTTAGTTTTTCACCTGCTACAGAGAAAAATTAAATATAAGTCCCACAGCAGTTACACAAGATGTTGTTTTTATACCAGGCTGTGTATTCAAAAAATGTAGTGTGATTCAGTGCCAGTAATTAACACAATTATTAATGCCCCCTGATTTGGATATAAATTTGGCAAATAAACTTTAATTGACAGCCATATATTTATAAAAAAATATATATACAAATAACTAATTTAATGCAGTTTCATTCTTATATCTCATCTTCTCAATGGAGGGAGGCGAGGCAAATGTGGAAGATAATTTTGCAGCCCAAGATTCCTTCTGTCTCCTGGCTGACTCCTGAGCAGATGACGTCTTCTTTACTGTGAGATGCTCTGGACTAGACATCTTCTTGCCTTTATAATTCCTCTGATCTCGCAGAATCTTTGCAAAGCCTTTATCTGCCTTTTTCTGTACATTCTTCTCATTTTGTTGTTTGGCTGTGTCTACAGAGGTTTTCTCTCTCTTTTCTCCTTGTTCTGTGGCTTGAGCTGGGACATTCGTCTGAAGCGTGGCTGTTCACCCAATAGCTTTTTTCTATTGGGAAAAGACAGAGACATAAAGCTCATCAGGACTGTTATCATTAGTCTGTCTAGACCCTGAAAGTCTCCTGGCTGACTCCTGAGCAGATGACGTCTTCTTTACTGTGAGATGCTCTGGACTAGACATCTTCTTGCCTTTATAATTCCTCTGATCTCGCAGAATCTTTGCAAAGCCTTTATCTGCCTTTTTCTGTACATTCTTCTCATTTTGTTGTTTGGCTGTGTCTACAGAGGTTTTCTCTCTCTTTTCTCCTTGTTCTGTGGCTTGAGCTGGGACATTCGTCTGAAGCGTGGCTGCTCACCCAATTGCTTTTTTCTATTGGGAAAAGACAGAGACATAAAGCTCATCAGGACTGTTATCATTAGTCTGTCTAGACCCTGAAAGTCTTAAAGGATTAGTTCACTTCCAGAATAAAAATTTCTTTCTGTCTTCAGTCGCAAAGAAATTAAGGTTTTTGAGGAAAACTTCCCAGGATTTTTTCTTTCTTTTTTTTTAAGTCAATTATATGGAGAAAAATCCTGGAATGTTTTCCTCAAAAACCTTAATTTCTTTGCGACTGAAGACAGAAAGACATGAACATCTTGGATGACATGGGGGTGAGTAAATTATCAGGACATTTTTATTCTGGAAGTGAACTAATCCTTTAAATAAAGGCATTTACAACTAATGAAGATCCCAGTGATACGACTGTGCTGAAAACCACATGCCTTAGGGGGTGGTGCTTTTTCGCTTTCTGACAGGCCGGACTGGTTGTCTGAGTCAGACGGCTCTCTGTAGGTTCTGGTCAAGGCTGCAGCTCTTTGAGGTCGTCCTGTGGCTTTCTTATTATTGATGCTTGGCTGCCGTTTATCCTCCTGTACGCCCATTTTCTTCTGCCTTTTCAGTTATTGACCCAATCCAAGAGAAAAGTGAATCATTACCATCAATATTAGTGCCGAAAATACAATACTACTAATTCAAAAAAGTGTAATACACTTAAGTACGGATGCATATAAATTAAAATTGGGTTGCTCTTTTAAAAAAAGTGTTCAATTTACTATGCACACCCACTCTGATATTATATTATAAAAGTGAATGTAGAAATAAAAAAAATGTAGAATATGGCCCCTTTAAGGCATCCTCTGTGACAATTATAGAGCATTTGTCCTTACCCGCTTTGGCTTGATTTGTTCTTTCACTGGCTTTGGTGAAGTCAAAGGTGTATATGGCGACTTAACTGAAAAAAAAAAAAAGTGTAAGAGATTTACTGGTACAAGAGGATATGAAAGCGGGAGAGAAAATAGTTATCAATAAACTGTGTGTAGTCCTTAAATAGATGGCACTCATCATCACTGTGGAGTTAACCTCTGCAGATGACAAATAAGAGACATCTCTAAAATACAGAGACTGGTGTAGCATACATGCAGCGTCAGCTGGCGGAAAGATGGGTTTTACCGGCTGCCTGCTGTAGTCTGCCACTTTGGGCTTGGGTTTCCTGTTGGCTGAGTTTAACCAGCTAATCTCCGTCATGTTGTCTGTGTCCATATCACTGAACAGGTTTTTGTTCACATTTGCCTTGGCAGCCTAGGTTGTAACACAAACACTATTTTGTGATAGGCATATGTTAAATCAACAAACGCATAAGTGTCCATCCTCAAATAATTAAAAAAACTGTGAAACCTTTGGAAGCTGAGGTCTCCTAGCAGACTTGGAGAGAGTCTGAGGATTACTTGGTGCACCAAAAGGGAAAAAGCAATGTGAATATGCAATAAAATACATAATATAGTCACATACATAATATAATGCAGTCACATGTTCTCAAATAAGCAGGATTTCTTTGGAGAGATTTTAACTGTCAGAATGATTGAACTGAACTCTGTTTTTAGGTTCACTTGTTAAACACTAGAGGGGGATGTTTTTAGAAATGAACAGAATTACCTGCTTTCCACTCTGGATGTATCAGAGGATTTCTTTCGCTGAAAAGGACAAAATTAAGAATGAATGAAAATGATCATATTTTTAATATTTAAAATATGATATTTAGTTTGCATTCAGAGCTATTAGTGTCCTTACCACACTAATTTTTGGCGTGTCTTCTGTAAAAGCATAAATATCCCTGAGACAGAACACAGTAAATTCAGTGATTTATAAAAGCTATTTTCAAACTAAATATCCCTAGTTATTCAGGGAGTGAAGGGAGTTAAATTAAATACTCACGCTGCTGGAACTCCTTCTTGGATCTATCATGTGCTTTGTGCAAGCTTGAACTCTTGACACCAGTTTTCTCCTGTAACACAATGCGCAGGAAAAAAAAAACATGAGTTAACACCATTTTTAACTAGATGTATTGATTTGACATTGCAAATGCTTCTTTCTTTCTAAATGACTTACAGTGGAGGATGGACAGCAGCTCTTATTGAGCAGGTTTCTGAAAGTGAAGGTAACATTGTGATTGCATGTGCGGACAGAGGAAAAGGTGGGGCATGAATGAAAGGTCAGTTTGTGTCACCTGTTTGTAGATGCGATATTTAACTGGGCCCCAGGTTCATGGGATGATGCTTTGGCAGGTCTCTTATAATGACTGGATATAATTTTCACCATACCATCTGCAGCATGTGCCATCTTCAGAACATTAACAACAAACGCAGTTCAATATAATAAACCTTGCTTTGTTTTCTTTTATTTACAGACTATTAATCAACAGCATATTAGATATAGAACAGAAAATCATAGGGAGAAAGTAATGGGACTGGGACACACCTTGTGAGAAAGAAGTACTATTTAGCATACTTTTAAAAAACAGTGATTATTACTGAAATAATACACTTTAAAAGAACATACTAAGAATATATATTTTAAAATAATAAAAAAAAGTGTGAATTGAATGTAATGTTTTCTGACACTTAATTGTGTTATTTCTAATTAAATAAAACTTTGTTGAACTTTAGAGTGCTTTTTTGACCTACTTTTTTAAAGTACTTCTTAATAAGTAATTCCATAATTACTTCTATTGTCTTTCAAATATGGTTCAAATATAACGTCGAATGAACTGACAAGCATTTAAACTAAAATATACTTAAATGTAATTTCTATTGAAACTTGCATGCCATGTATTTTAATATGTTTGTGATTATACATTTGTAACAATGAAGCAATTTAGTTAATTTAAAATATAATAATTTTAAATGTACTATCAAATAACACTACAGTTAAAATTATAATCAAGTCTTTACATGTAATTTAGTATGTTAGTCAAAATAAGTGCACTTCTTTACAGCAGAAGATTATTGAAACAATTACTTAAAATGCAAAACTTTCAATTTGATATTTTTTGTAAAGTTTATTAAGAGACCTAGTCATGAGTGTACTCTATTTAAATACACTCAAGATGCTATTTGTTTAATTAACATTACATTATAAACAAGTCGTTTTTCAAATATATACTTTTAAGATCTGAAGTACATTACAAGTGCAATTAAGCACACTTCTTTTTCACAAGGCATGACAGGTCTGATTCAAACCTTAGCAAACACTAATATTTGCTCTTTATAACATAAAGACATCTATTCCAACTAAAAGAGTCTCACATTCTCATGGTCAGATGTGTCACCCTGAACTTCACTACTCTTCCTTCTCTGTTGTGCAGGTCTAGCAGGCATGGACTGATTTCTCCATATTTTGTTTCTCTTGACCTGCAGTCCTGGGCTCCAGTGAGGAGCCTCTCTGGGCTGCATGGCCATCTGTACCCTGCTGCTCCCTCACCACCTCCTCCAATCTCTGAGTGAGCTGGGTGTGCAGCTGCTTCTGGTTCAGGGCTCTGGATGCACACTGTGCCGGGGACAGACGCTGAGCAGGGGGATGAGAACTACCATCTGGAGATGATTACACAGAATGCAAGGTTACACAAAGCCACCTGATTCATATAGTGACAACATATCAGGAACAGTGTTTCCTATACAATTCTGGTTTTGAAGCAGGGAAATTCAGGTTAAATTCATTAAACAATCTCACAGATTTGGTGAGTAAGTAATTAGATTGATTCAGCTTTTAACAGATTCAGGATAAAAAGAACTGGCTCATTCTTTCATGAGCTGGATTACACTTGCCTCCCTGAATAGTAGTGCTAGAAAGTGATGGAGGAGTAATAATGAGAGTAAATTATTATATTTTATTCTGTGAGAATGAGACTGCACAGTCATAAGAGACATGAAACTAGCACAGATATGTAGGACATTGGTTCAAACAGTCAATTAAT